TTTGGGGGGGGGGGGGTTGTCTTTCATATAAATTTATTTTTGACTTTTTCATTTTGCCTTTCGAAATTCTTCATCTTTTCAAATAACGCGAAAGAATGGTGCTTCGTGGACTTCTTTCAACACTCATCATTTTGACAATACTGACGAACAATAGCTTCGCGTCGTTGCTTCGCGTTCTTCGACTACAGCAATGCCATTAGAATCCATTTAATTTGAAAAATTCTCGATTAATTCAAATTTGGAAAACAGTGTGGGTGCTTTCGTGAGATAAATTGACTTTAGGTGGAAATAAAGAGAAAGACAAGTTATAATACAAAATTTGTCTTTGTCCCTAAAGTTTTTTTTCCCACCCGGTGGGCAGAAAGTTGAAAGGAACTTTACTATTATAGTCACTTTCAACTAGAGCACCCGTTATATATTTTGACACGATCTGAAGTCGGGACTTCTACAGTTTGTAAATTGGTCGCATCTCTTGAATACACAATACGTACGAGGGTGTATGACGCAATGACAAGACACGATAAAATCTTTGTACGTAAATTCCGAATCTCTATAATATCGCCGTATATGGTTAAAACAAAGGATAGCGAACCGTATACAATAATACGAATTATTCCAGACCATAAAGCATGAAAGCGAGATGCGAAGGAAACTCCAGGTATTTTTTGGATTCCAGCACACCAGGTGCTGGTTCTCATAGTCACCGCTGGACACGAAGTTGGCATCTCATTTTACGTAACTGTCTTTTTTTAGTTTTTTCGATTATCGACCAGAACTACTGTTAAAAATCATCACGTGCTATAGAACTATGCTGCATGTCAAAGGTTCACGAACCTGCGCCCCGAGTTGGGGAGGGAGGGAATCGTCGAAGCTTGTTGCTGTTTCTACGGGGTCAAAGGGCAAGTGGCAGCTTCAGTACGTCGTGCAAGAGAACCGCCGGCTTTGAGAGAGATCCTACGCGATTTATCGTGGACAAGAACCGTCGATGGTATTACGATCTTCTAGGACCTTCCAGAACGTTCGAGAAGATTCTCGATCGCGCGCAATTCCTGAAATCGAGGGTAAAATTCTTGGAATTCGAGGTAAAATTCCTAGAATCAGTCTTCGATTCGTAGAGTCGACGATCCTCGTGACTTCGCTCTTTGAAAACATGTGAGTTTATGTCGTCGATTCAGCATGGATGCGAACCTTCGAAGGCTCTCGAAGTGTCGGTAAATGTCGGTGCAGGAATCCTGGTAAAGAACCCGCCAACTTATACTACATCCAGGTTCACCAAAGTCCCTAGGGAAGCCAGTTAATCAGAAGGAATAGCAAAGCAGCCCGAAAGAGCATGAAGTTGTTCACGTTTCAAGATACATCGACACGTATCAGCTAAGTAAGCTTTTTCCATCGATTGGTTCTAGAACATATTTACATAGCCCAAGCCGTAACAACGAGACGTCGGAAATATTTGCAGTTTGCGCAAGGGTCGAAACGGACGAGGAGAAGTATATGTATTCGGTACGAGCGACGGCGACCCGTAAGCGTGTAATCCATAAAGAGCCTCGAGCTATACGAGCTATACCAGGGAAAAGGATTTCGACAGAGCTAAATATGTATGCGAGGGCTTGTCTCCTACCCCGAAGGCAAGGCGATGAACTTCGAGGAGAGAAACTAAGAGCTGTTGGCTGTTGCGACAATAGTAAAAGTAATCAGAGGGTGTTGATGTTGAGGAATCTTTTGGTGATCTCAGGTGTCTAGAGGATGATAACAACACAGAGCTTCTCTTGCTAGTCAACACTCTGTGTCATCCTGGACGATAATCCAAGCCGGATGGATGCTGCAATTTCTTTCTGGATTTACGCTCAGCCTCCCCTCTCGTATCTGAAGGGATGAGGATTATGTTATTTTTATACCTTATTTATTTACCGTTTACAGTGTAGGAATGTATGTACTACTGCTCGTTCTCAAAGCGAACGGATCGATATGCCTTGTTCGTAAGGGATTTATGTCAAGTAGAATAATAATAATAATGATAAAAAGGATTGTTGTCGAGGAAGAAGAAGTTGAAGGTAGCTTTGATGATATATATATATACATATTATTTCTTAGAATTGTATCATGTTACCTCCGTACAATTATTATTATTATTTTCTTAAATACGGATTAGGCACAGTTGTTACCTAATCATCAAAATGGTATAATTCTTTCTGTTTCAGGTACTGTCCCGATTTTTCAAGGTATTGTAGCTCCTCAAGGCGTCTCTTAGAATAACTTCATCATGTTCTCTTGTCTGTGCTTCGATCTAGGTATAATTTTTTGGGAATGCACAGTAGAGATACTTTGTCGCTCACATTATTTAATAGACTAAATTTAAGTTTACGTCGAAAAATAAATTATAAGGTTCGAAAAAGTCACCGAGTACTTGGACCTCGTGAAATTTTGAAAAATTTCTGAATCATTGACTGAAATTTTTTTTTTACACGGGCGAGAGGAGGGTCTTTACGATACATTTTTACGTATATGCTTTCAGACCGGCTGATCTGACGTTACTGTCGGTCCAGGGATAAATTCGTTTGAATTTTAAGTTTCACTAACAACAAGGCACGCGTAACGCTGAATGTGGCAGTTGCGATTATTTCATTAACTTTTTCAACGATCCGTAAAAAAAAAGACTGCTCTTGTTTTCTATCTTACCGCGCGTCGTCAAAATAAACGGTCGCCGCTCATAGATCCAAGTCGATCGTTTGTTTTCCCATGAGAAATTATCGTCTCGGGTCCGGACTTTGTTTATTCTTATAAATGAGCGGTTCGAGCATCCGTTTTTGAGACGAGTCACAAATACAGAATTCTAACAATCTAATTTCCCACGAAATCGAAAGTCATTAAGGGGTCTGGCGCTGTAATCGCGTTCGGGTTAACCTGATGGTAACGGGTAAATTGTCTATTGGGTATCACACGTGTTACCACGCTATACAATATACAACGGGTGATCAAGTTGAAAATAGTCACCGTATACAGCGCCGGTCAAAAATAATTGCCACAGTGTAGTCCTGGTTAAACGTATTGCACTGTGACAACGCTTTTGATTATAACTGTGTAACGGGTGTGATTGGCATCATTTTTAACTCGGCCACCCGGTATAGTGTTATACAGTGTAGCGTATTAGAACAGTATAACACTACGTACCATGCTATATTATAAATATTATATATACAGACAATGTGATTAACAATTTTTTTTTTTCAAAATACGAGTTTGGAAATTATTTTTAAATTCGTATTCCATCTTCTTTGTCTTGGGGTTTTTAAAGGAAATAAAATAAAGACGATGATCTAATCATTTGAGACTACCCTTCGAGTCGATGTGAAACGGCGTATTTTAAACTTTTGGGAAACCGAGGGAGGAGCATGAATATTCATACGTTCTTATTTTACGGAGTATCGCGGGGGGGGGG